ATCTCGAGGTCTCTTTCTCTCGGTCTGACTGCAGTTGCTTTCTGCACTTATATAACACTGCAGCACAATCTTGCAGAGAGACAGACCCAGTTTCGCAGCCCTTTGCAGCAGTCTGACATGGGAACTTATCCCAGCAACAAGGAGCCATTCACTTGTACGTTTATTTTGACCAGTCTTCTCTGTGCCCATTTCCAATGCCACTTCACGACTGGTTGACGCAGGATATATGATTGAAAGTAGGGTTTATATTTACAAAGTCAATTTTTTTCTGTGCCTAGAAAGAACTTGTATTTCTATTGCGGCTCCTCACGTCAAAACATTTCAAAGTAATTCACTGTCATCACTGTCAAGCGCAGTGATTTTTATTATAGGTAAATGCGACAGACAGCTTTGAACACAGCAAAGTCCCACACACAGCCATGAGGTGACTGAGCTTATTAATCAGGAGGATTGTTGGCCGAGATAGTGGGAGAAACTTCCATTTCTTTTTGAATTGTGTCACACACTCCTTAAACTCCACCTGAAGATGCAGACAGGACATCGGTTTTAACTTCTCATCTGAAGGACAACATATCCAATAATCCAACCATGGTTCCCTCATTACTGCCCAGGAGTCTAGATTGTGAGCTTTTCTGACACAATGGGAAGGGATGTGTGTCCGAGCTGCAGATAGGAAGATGGTGGCAATGCCTTTCATGCTGAGCTGCGTTGCAAACCGAGAAGCTCGCAGGGAGTTCCCCAATGGTTGCCATCCATGCAGTGAGGGCTCAAATGAGCAGAGTGACTTTCCTCCTTAGTGGGGGTGCAGGTGGGGTGGTGGGCGGGTGTGGATGGTGGGGTTCAGCTCCATTGTGTCATGTTTCGCAACTGAATGTCGGAATCAAGCCCACTCTCTCTGCCCAGGAGTGCAGTTCCTAAGCCAGGCATGTCCGCAGTATTCCAGAGCATTGCTGATGACAGCATATGATTTTATCAGCAGGACTTGGAAGGGCAGAACAGTCACTGGGTACAGGGACTCTTCCCACTAACCTGCGCTTAATAGTTTCCAGAATTAGGTAAACAGGATACGTCCCTCCAGGGAGAGAGTGTGCGTTCAGTTCCAATAAACATCTCTGTAATTTCCATGTATAGGTGGGATACCTAGAATTCTCAGTTTATTTTGGATACTCCTAATTAGCTTGGATTCGGATAACAGTCCCTGTGAACTGAGGAAACAAATGACTAAATATGCATGGACCTCTTCATCTTTAATCGTAGGTAAACACTTTTGGCATCAGCAGTTCATCTTGTCCAATTGACATTGAATGCTCTAGCTTTATTTGCTATGGTTAACATGGAAGATAGTGATCTGCTTTCTAACCGCACAATTTGTTTAGTTGAACAGTCTCGTTGCATCCAGACATATTTACATGATATTATTTCCAAGGGTTTTTCTTTTGTGCCCTACTTCAACAGCTTGTACTCACATGGCACCTTCCACTTAGTCATCATCTCAAAGTGCTTCACAAGAACCATGAGGGACACTGAGCAGGGAGGAAAGGAGATGAAATTTGAGGCTGTCGACCACAGGCGCAGTCAGAGAGATATGTTTTTAAGAGAGTTTTAAACACAGCGAGAGAAGTCACAAAGCAATTGCTGGATGTTAACCAGCTAAAACTAAGCAGCTTGCTATTCAAAGGACTGCCTGGTAAGCTTTCTACTGCTTGGCCACCTAAGGCCATATTACCCATTAGGGCTTTGGTTTGTAGGGTTAATAATATAAGCCAAGTGGGAAGAATTCCTGCCCCCCCTCCCCCCTCCACCCCTTAATTTTCTTTAATTGTGAATTCATTCTCATTAAGTTTACAAATAACCTTCTCCCATACATTGCACCCCAGTAAAAAGGAAACAACTCACTTCCATTTGCTGGTGTGCCTATGTTAGCTTCCGTATGTTCAATAAAGTGGAACGATTCACGCCCTGGGGGGGGGCACTTTCTTGAGCTCCACCAACAAACCTACACACAGCGCAGATTACCTTCATTTCTCAAACCTCTGCATTAAGTTAAATATCGAAGCAAAAAAAGTGTTGAACTATGTGTGCCCCCAACCAGGAATCGAATCAGTCAGTCCTTCAGGTGAGACATTAAACCGAGGTCTCATCTGCCTATTCGGGTGCACTTTAAAGATCCCATGGCACTATTCGAAAAGAGAAGGGAGTTCCTCCTGGTGTCCTGGCCAACAACAACCCAAAATAAAAATTGTCACTCATTCCCATGGCTGTTCTATGGCTATACAAATGTAATCTTGTTGTTGTTGTTGTTGTTGTTTGTGGGAGATTGCTGTGCACACAACTGGCTCCCATGTTTCTCCTCGTAAATACACAGTCACTCCACTTTACAGTGTATCCTCTGAAGCGCTTTGAAATAAGGCGCTATATCAAATGCAAGGATTATTATTATTCCTCATTACTGTTTGCTGTACATACAGGAGCTGACACTAACACATACATGAGCCATATAGTACCAGACAGGACTAAAGGGTTATCTTGTCCCCACACAAGTTGACCCTGAGACACAGGGGTGGGGGCAGGTTTTACTGCGTGCACTGTGTACGTCAAGCAACTAATACTAAAGAAGTTCCTAAGCTGTACAGCACTAGATATAAATGGCAAGTGGTTCCATGCTACATCTGTGCTGAAGTACTCTGACATTGCATTTTCTTGTCACAAACACAATTTGAAGCCAAAGAGATTTTAACTTGATCAATCGATCGATCGATTGATTTGATTGATTAATTGACGGACTGACGTCCGACATCATTATTTACTCTCCTAACACATACACACACACACACCTTGCCAACCTTAGGGTCTTAGATCTGAAAAGCTTCTGTTCAGTGTACATCCACCCACCACAACAACTCTCTAGCCAAGATACAGAAAACAACAGCAGTCACCGAGAGATAACAATTCAGAAAGCACACCCACAAAAATGACGAAGGTTAAAGGATGTTCAAATCTTCAAGTAACATGATCCTTTCAGGGAGAGTTGACTTTAGGGTCTAATACAAAACGACTCACAAGAGAGGTTTGGATGAAGAAGGTCCATTGACCCATTTGATTTCACCCTCCCAAAATAAAAGCGATATGAAAACATCAGACTGTTTCTTAAATGGCCTTAAATATGTTACCTTTTCCCGGTTACCTGTTTCCAGGTTTTAGACAAACCTTATTTGTGAGAAATACTTCTCAAATACTTGCCCAAAAGTCTTCTCACAACCCGTAATAATAATAATCCTTACATTTACTTTCTCAGTACCATTCAACATTTTACATATTTTTCTAGGGCCTTTTTGATATGATTCCCTTCAAGGCAGAACCCTAGTTTGTCTATTCACTCCTCAGAACTCATCCTACCCACTGCAGATCATCCTTGTTCTTCTTTGCAGCACTTCTAGGCTTAGGCCTTCATGTTGTGGTAACCAGGGGCCAACCAAACCTGAGCACAGTCCACTCCCGGCAAGCCTTATGCTGACTGATATGACAATGTACTCTGCAAGTGTGTAAGTTGGGCACTCTGAAGTTTATCAGCAAGAACCCAAGAGCTCTTATCAGTGCAGTGTGTGGACAGAACACCAGCAGAAATGTTTCATCCACCATTTCCTCTTGTTTAACTCGCCCAGACTACAGCGGCTTGACAAACCCAGAACCAAGACATTAACTTGCGTTAGTGCTTATACCTCCCTATCTGGGTGCTAGTAACTCTGCCTCTTGTATCCTTGTATATCATGTATAGTGGAACATGCATCCACATGCTGACCTGCCATGTGTCCGTTTATCTATATTGAGCCTTGAAGGTGCCAACAAACTGTAGTTGCTGCATATGGATAAAATGACCAAATCCATGATTTAGCCAAGGTTTGCGAACCAAGTGAATATTCAGCAGTTTGTCATAAGTACAGCGGCGGGTCAGACACACACAGAGAGTCAGAGAGATCGAGAAATAAATGGTCAAAGAAAATTAGAGTCAGGAGGAAGGATGGAAGACATGGAGAGAGAAATAGCTACAGAGCAAAAGGTTAAGAAGGACTGGTACAATGTAGTTCTAGAGTGACACTCCGACAGATGATGTTTTTTGATTAGAACTCTTTGCTAATTTGTGTTTTCCGCGAAGACTCATTACCTGCACTGTTGTATTCCCAATTACCGATATCGGGCTTTGTACCGTGCAGAAATGCAGAGTTAGCTGTCAGGCTCTGAGGCCACACCTGGCTTCGGTTCAGCTTTTGGTTCAGCTTCTGCCAGCGACCAGAGGGGCATCGTGTGAGTCAACGTTCCCCCGAGGGACAGACATTTTTTTAATCATCATCTGACCCATGAAAAATTAAATTGAAAATTTGGATCTTTAGCAAGGGAAAGAAAGAATTGAGCACAGCTTCAAAGGACTATAATTCAGTAAAATGCTGAAATATACATTGATTGTTCGAGTGTAAAGCTGTGATGTGAAGCCTTGACTTGTTGGCTTTCAACTACAGATGTGCCAGGAAATTCAGAACCAAGCGCTGTCCACTTCCACACTCCCCCACTGCTCCTGGCTGTGGTCATTTTATATTTTGTATTGAAAGTATAAAATATTAAATATATAAAATATGTATTCCTTATGACTCTAATTTTCTACCCTTCTGATTTTATATTATATTTTATAATTTAAAATTTTATGTTGCTTTTATATTTCATATTGATAATAGTACGCATCTGCAAAAGATCTATCCAAATAAGTGTAAAAGATCGCCAGTAACAGATCTAAAAGGGAGGTCAGGAGAAACTTTACACAGTGGGTGGCGAGTATGTGGAACTCACTGCCGGAAGCTGCGGTCGAAGCAAAAAACAACAACATATTTAAGATGAAACTTGCGGACCCGAGGGAGAAGGGTGCTAGATCAAATGCAAGAATTATTATTATTATATTAAGAAATGTTCTCTCTCTCTCTCTCTCTTTCTCTCTCTCTCTCTTCCCACAGAAGTTGGTCCCAAGAAGTTACGCAGCAACATCCGGAGAAGCACCGAGACCGGGATCGCTGTGGAAATGCGGAACCGGGTCACGAGGCAGGGAAGCCGTGAGTCCACAGACGGCAGCACCAACAGCAACAGCTCTGATGGGAAGTGAGTTCGCAGCAGATAACAAAGAAGCTCCCTCCGAGGCTGGACTTCCCTCTGGCTCTCTCCTCCTCTCTGGCTCTGGCTCTGGAAGTCGCTGGGTTCCAGTCAGAATCCTGAGCTCACTGTCTCGCTGATGTTTTGGTGCATTGTTGAGGGTGTTTCTTTTGGGTTGAGTGATTTACAAGCCAAGGGTTCGAGGTCTGTCTGTTCAGGTGGACGTTAAAGATTTAATGATACAACACTATTCAGTCCTGTAGCTCAGTGGTTAGAGCACTCACCTCGCAAGCGAGAGGACCTGGGTTTGATTCACGGGCAGGGCAAAACGTTGGGAAAGCTTCCTTACTCCACACGCCTCTGTTTACCAGCAGTGAGTAGGAACCCTGTTGTTAGTCGATTGGTGAATCGCTTTTTCTGCCGCATTTCACTCACAAAATATACAGTCAATTCACTTTATATTCTGTGAAGCGTTTGAGACGTTTTGAAGACGTGATAAGGCGTTATATCGAATGCAAGGATTAATATGATTATTATTATTATTCAAGAAGAAAATAGTGTTTCTTCTGGTGTACTCTCCAAGAATCCCCCAAATAGAATTGATCATTTCTAATGATTTGCAGTGCTCCCTGGCTCAATCCCTCTGACTCTCCCCACTTTAATCGTGTTAAAATCACACCTGAAGACTTTCTCTTTGACCATACCTGACAAACTCCGCCATTGGTCAGTGCTGTGAGAGGGAAGAGCTAAATAAATGCAAGTAGCAGTTGTTGTTACAATGCGCAACAACAACTTGCACTTATATAGCTCCCTCCATGCAGGGTAGCGTCTCAGAGCGCTTGACCAGAGTTCAAAGTGCCTGCCACATCTGTCCTGTTTGCAGGTGAATATCCCATCATGATGACCGCAACCCGAGGCCCCAAATACCTCCCCAGCCTTACCCTGCAAACTTTAACTGTGCACAGAATCGCGGAAAATGCTTTCAATCAATCCGGTCTTCGTTTAGAATCCGCTTTCTTTTTAAGAACGGCGAAAAAAAAACAAAAAAAAAACAGCTTCTGATAATAGACTGAGTCGAAGAAATTCCCATAAATCTGAACCTTCTTAAATTTGAAGATTAAAGGGCTAAGGCTGGGCAGATTTAGAGCTTCTAACTGAGAGCTGGAATCCGACTCGAAATCTGCACATCGTTGTGTCCTGGCGTCCTCTAGTGGAATCTGGGAGTACATTACTGAATAATAAATAAGCGGTCATGTAAATACAGATAATTAATTCAACAGCCACATGCGATAATGCACTCCCCACCCTTATGAGCCACTGTGTAGAAACATTTCCTCTAACCTCCCCTTCACTGTTTGCAGTATTTCAGATAGAGTCCATGTCCACTTTGTTACTGATTGATCAGCCACTGGGGATTGATCTGTCACTGTTTACCCCCCTCAAACCTACAACATTCAGCACTTGGATTTGGTCAGTTCAATCCACGACTGTTTGTGGGACACTGCTGTATGCAATTGGCTGGCGCGTTTCGCCCACAAAATACCCACTTTCAATCAACTTTCCAATATTTTCTGTGAAGCGCTTTGCGACGTCTTAACCACGTGATAAGGCTTGAATAGTAAATGATAATCCTTGCATTTGATATAGTGCCTTATTACATGTACGAGACGTCTCAAAGTGCTTCACAGAATATATTGTAAAGTGAATTGATTGTAATTTTGTGGGTGAAACAACAACAACAACAACAAGATTCCATTTGTAAAGCGCCTTTCACGTCAGGAACACTATATAAAATTCAAGGATTATTATTATTTGATTCCTTCTTACCCGGCTCGGCTCCAGTGATCAAGACCATTTTGCCTTAAGAATTAAGATTGCCCAGAGTTGTGGAAATATTTTAATCTGGAAAAGCCTGTAGTTTATTAAGAGATGTGACAACAACAACCGACATTCTCCGAAGCTCTACCAATTATAACGTTTGAAGGCAAAGTGGTCTCCGAGCTCAGATTGGGTGAAATGTTGGGCAGGTCTAAACTTTTGGTGACTAGTTCCTTGGGTTCCTGACACTGTTTGTGGGTCACCGGCTGAGCAGCTCGTGCGACAGTTATTGACCCCGATCTCCTTGTGCTTCGCAGTTTGGTTTTCCCCACGGCTCGGCTGGGAGCAGACGGACAGTTCAGTGATTTCTTGGACGGGCTGGGACCAGCACAGCTGGTGGGCCGACAGACACTAGCAACCCCCTCAATGGGTGAGTTGACATGAGCTTCAACCGCGAGTCGCGGTCCAGTCATCTTCGCCCTCCAGCTCCCTCTCACTGCAGCTCCTCATGATAACGCCCCCAAAAATTTGGTCACTCAATCCACGACTGTTTGTGGGGACGCTGCTGTGTGCAATTGGCTGCCGTGTTTCGCTCACAAATATACAGTCAATTCACTTTACAATATATTCTGTGAAGCGCTTTGAGACGTCTCAAAAACGTGATAAGGCGCTATATCAAATGCAAGGCTTATTATTATTATTATTGTCATTCTTTCTCTACATTGTGTCAGTGGGTTGGATATGGCTTATCAGCTTCACTGCCCCTGTTCACATTCCACTTCCTTCCAAGAATCAGCAGCTACACTTTATGAACATTCATTCTAATCGGAGTTCTTTCTGTTGCTGGGAGGAAAAGATAATATATCAGGCGTGAGGTTACTGAAGACCATTTTAACGTTTGTGAAATGGAATCACCAAGCGTGAGGAGAAGTCAGCTCTTGAGAGAGTGCGGTCAGAGTAAGGTTTAGAGTTATGGTCAGACCCGGTTAGTAGGTATCAGGTCACAGTCACGGTCTGTGCTCAGTGAGACGATCTCAGCTCTGTTTGGGCTACAGTTGGCCTTAATACATAATACATACTCTGCTTATTGTACTGTAATTACACACTGGCTTTAGTAATGTCATGAATGACACATAATGACACAGACACTGTCTCTACAGTTGGAATACTGCAAACACTGCCTCTCGAATCGTTTCTCCCACTAAATATAGTCAATTACCTTTACAGTGGATTCTGTGAAGTGCTTTGAGACGTCTCAATGACGTGATACGGCGCTACATCAAATGCAAGGATTATTATTATTATTATTTCCTGCATTGCTCTTATGCTATATTACAGTGTTTCTATTATACATTGACTGGAGGACTGTAATTCTATACTCGCTGACTCTCACCAGTGGTGCTGACGGGGTCTGGTCTTTCTGTGGTAGGTGATATTCACATTGGTGTGATTGATCGCAGCGGGCAGCTGGAAGTGGAGATTTTCCAGGCTCGAGGACTGATACCAAAGCCCGGCTCCAAAACCCTGCCAGGTACGTGCCAGCACTACCCGTGGGCACGAGCTGCAGCGGGTAAGTGCTCCGTCCCTCACTACACCATCCATCACACCAGTGATACTGGTCCACTCCCTGATAGATCCACAGCAGCTATTGTCTCTCTCACACCATTGGTTACTACCGAGGGTGCATTCCAGATAAAAGATGGGGCGGGGGGGGCAGATTCAATCACAAGTGAAAACGCTGTACAGGTCCCAGGTCAGGTTGAATGTTGAATATCGAATGCAATTATGTGATGCCTAACTTGAAAACGTATCCGGGCGCATTGGAGGGGGTTTTACAACAATGGGGTCTTTACAATGGATCAAGTTTTTACAACAATGGGGTGTAGATTGCAAACAAGCAAAGTGACGTACAGCAGTGTTTCTCAAAGACTTTGGTCAGCTGGGTGTCTGATGCATGTGGCAACCCATCACCATGCTTAAGAGTATCCACACCAAGCTGAGATGTCCAGGCATCCCACCTACACATGGAAAAATCATGGCCGAGATCTCTTTACATTGAGTTACCCAACAGGCTAATTTAATGATGGTCGTCACATTTTAATAAGAAACTGAGTGGGTCCCCGGTGTGTGATGAGATGCACACGCACAGAAGTTGGTGCATTATCTCCACATGTACCCCAATACTGAAATTCATTTCTGTATCTTCCATTCCTCTGGAAGCCCTCAAATGTGTCTAATGGCTTACACTGTGTGCTGCACCCCACAGCTCCCTACATCAAGGTGTATCTACTGGAAAATGGTGTGTGTATAGCAAAGAGGAAAACCAAGATTTCTAGGAAGACTGTGGACCCTCTGTATCAGCAGCCCCTGATGTTTGAGGAGAGCCCCCAGGGCAAGGTGCTACAGGTCAGTGTCCTGATCAGTCCCTGACTGCCAGCCTCTGGCAGGAACAGGTCAGCATGACAAGCCTTTGTGGTGATGGAGGGACAAAAGTGGTGGGTGAAAATATTTTTTGGGGGGGTGGGGGCCTGTCCCCTTTATGGCAGGTGCAGCCTCTATGCCAACTTCAAAGATGGCTGCCCCCGGGGTTCATCAGAGGCTAGGGAGGGTGGTGGTGGGGTGAGGGGGGGAGTGGGCTGGGTGGCAGCCATCTTTGGGCTGGTATATGGAGCCTATGCAGTGAGGAGGACGGGGAGGCGGACATCTGGGGATGGGAGTGGGTGACCTGCCATCACCGTGCGTGCAAGGTGAGGCAGTAACTAATCACAGGATAACCCCCATAGAGTTCAGAATGACTGTTAGACTTAGCAGAATAATTTCTTCACTCCGAGGGTTGTTAATGTATGGAATTAATTTCCACAAATCGCTATTGAGGCTTGATCAATAATTATTATTGGTTTCCCCAGCTCGACTCATAAAATCCAATTAATTCACAACTTTGCTGCCTGTATCCTCACCCGTACTAAACTCCGCACCCCAATCGATCCCATGGTTCACTGGCTCCCTAATGGAGAACACATTGGTTTCAAGATTGAAGACCATGCTTTCAGCCGCTGAACCCCAGAACTTCCTATCTCAATCCCTCCTACGGTCACCTCCCCCCTCTCCCTGGCTCGGAGTCAAGCTTCACTGAGATGCTATTCCACTATATAAATGCAAGTTGGTACGAATAATAACAATTTGATATAGCTCCTTTCATATTGAGAGGAGGTCTCAAAGCGTTTTACAGGGTACCCTGTAAAACGTAGTGACTGTGAGTTTCGTAGGTAAACACATTCAAAAGAGGAACCACATAAAGACCTGGGCTGTGAAAACAATAAGGGATAAGGGGCATGAGCTGGAGAGTGGGATGAATTAAAAAGAGCGACAGATATAACGCAGCACAGACACGGTGGGTCAAATGACCTCCTCCTACCTTATGGCTAGAACTAACCCATTGCTTTACATTCTTGCTTCCATGCTGCAACGTTGTACGTAATTCAACCTGTAACTCTGTGTATATGTCACACTCTATGCTGTGCCTACAGGTAATAGTCTGGGGCGATTATGGTCGAATGGACCACAAGTATTTTATGGGGATGGCCCAGATCCACCTGGAGGAACTGGATCTGTCCAACATGGTGACCGGCTGGTACAAGCTCTTCCCCACGTCATCACTGGTGGACTCGACCGTTGCTCCCATCACTCGCCGTCTCTCACAGTCCTCGCTGGACAGTGCCACGAGTCCCACCTGTCACTAGGCCCCCTCACCCCCACCACACACACACATACACAGGACAGCGGCTGCACGCTACGGGCCACGCCGAGAGAAGGCTGTAAATAACCGTCCTGCCACTCGACCAACCACGCTGCAACGCTCGTGCTCTTTTACCATGTTTTATTTTTGTTGGCCAGGGACGTCCAGGCAACCGGCACAGCCACACGTGCGCTCATTACTGGAGAAAACAAATGCCCGTGAGCGCAGCGATATCGTGCAATATTTCGAGTGGGTTGGGGGTGGGTTTGGGGTGGGGTGGGAGAGAGGATGTGACACGGTATTCCTTCCCGCTCCTGAAAGTACTATAGACACACACACATAACTGTAGATAACTCCTTCTCTTCCCCCATCTCCCCCCCACACCCTCCAAAATAATTAAGAGCGAGTCCAAACCATTGGCTTAGACATTCAGCCAGGTGATCAAACCATTCATATCAAGCTGAGCCCTAAGAGATCAGAAATGGATCCATGCGTTGGGCTTTTCAGACTCTTATCTTTGGAATGTCTTGAGTATGTTTCATTCCTTGCTTTGCAGAGGATATCCTTGTAACCCCATCCCTCCCCCACCCCCAACAAATGGCTGACATTTCTTGTAAAGCACTTCTGCGGTTGCACATTATCAAATGGGAGGGAGGGAGGGGGGAGGGGGCGCAGGAATGTTCAAATTTGCGATTATAAATGTTGGATGTTTACCTCAAGAAGGGTGTCTCAGAAACGGTTCAGAATGTTACTGTTTCAGCTGCTTGGCATCTATGTTGACCCTCATTAAAAGGTCAGTGTTTTTTCCTATCCTCCAAATCCCATGATCACACCTGAGCCTTACCAAACTGGCCACGAGCGACTATCTTACCCAATGAGATGGCATGCTGAACCCCCTGCTCCTCTTGCACTGGTTTAGATATCGGACCAATACCCTTCCTTGGCATCTTGAGTCCCAATAATTAGCTACTTTTTAAACCCTTTTATAGTCTTCAGCCAGTTCCTGCTGTAATTCCTCAGCAAATGGAGAGCACAGAGCACATTGCGTATTCCATTTGCTGTGTACTCAATGATCTGGCTGACTGAGACCTTCTCCATTCTCTTCAGCCCTGGAGTCCCACCAGCCCTTTGTTAATCCAACCCTCTGCACACTTGTTCGTTTTGTCTTAAAACTACAAATGAAATGGTGGATTTTTGCATGTTCTTTCCAGGCTCATGTTGGTGGAGCCAACCAGTGCAATCATGTATATACCCATAAATATGGAACTCAGTGGGGTTTGACTACAGGCAGCACAAGGTTTAGAAGGGCTACTGTGTTTTTTTTCTTTGCTGCACTGTGGACCGTGGATCCAGTGAATCTATACTGTAGATTAAACACAGGGATGTTGCTTAACTTTGTTTGCTCAAATTGAAGAATATTGAAGTTAGCTTTGATCCAAGCATGAAATACAAAAGGAACTCACCTTGCTTGTCCTGAGTTCGGTGAGTGGAGTTGACATGGACACAGCAATGCACTCTCAACGTAATGCTGAAGAACGACCCAGTGATGAAGCAATCTCATGCTGGATGAGTCAAAAAGAGGACTGTTCTGGAGCCGGCTAAAGGAAATCGATATTTAAGCAGAGCCCTTGTTGCCTTGTGCAAATGGGCTTGTGTAGGCATGGAGCTCTTTTATGTTGGACATTAGGATTCCAGTTCTACTTGAAGGACCTTGACATTCAACATCTGCAGCATATAATGCAGAAAAATTCAAGGTGACTGCTTCATGGCTTTTAAAACCTCACCGTTTTGCTCATTGTTGGACAAGTTGAATAAACTTTTCAATGGCATCACTGCTAAACATCTCAAGGTCCTTCAGTTCTCTTCAGTCCTCACGGCCACTGGATTCAGGACTTACCGATGGGTGAAGATAAATAAGGTCATGCTGAATTAACTGTGGTATTTTGTTTGATTATCCAGAAATGTAGCAATGTCACGCATGTAGTTGTGATCTCTCCACAGAACGCACGTCACTGCAAAAGAGTTCCAGAGACTAAACATTGGGTTCCACTGCGTACGAGAACGTTAAGTGGTTTGCCCGGACACGACACGATGGACCGTCATCTGTCATCCACAGGAGAACCCCCGCATCTCAAGCGAGGTGATGGGCAGTCGAAATTCTTACGGTACAAAACGGGGGGTGGGGGTGGGGGGGGAATCTCTATAGTCAGTTTGCTATTGGCCAACTGAGAAAGAATTAATGTCTTCAACACAGCACTGCAGAAGACACAATATTCACAGGAAAAAAATGCATTTCTTGTTGCAAACAAAACATCACTGGCCACCATTTCCCCTTATGCATGACGCCAGTTTTGTGGATTTTCTTCCCCCTCCAACACAGCAAGGCCAAGACTGCAAACCAATTTTGTACGAGCACTGAGATGGTTTTTATAACAAAAGGAACTTTATGCAGTTTTATCATAACATGGAGAATCACCACATCCGATGATGTACTGTTAAAGGGCATTTCTTTCCATGTAAGTAGCGTGTTTTGCTATGAAACTGTCAGATGTCTCAGCATCCGTTTGATAGAATTAATGACCGTCTTGTAAAGTTTGGTCTGAATAAGCCGCATTTCTTATTAGGCTTGGTGGCACTGTCTTTGTGAAGTATATAAGTGCACTAAACCTCTCTATATTGGGTATAATTGTGACGTTTTCAATTGGAAAGAATGGTAAGGGTTTTAACAAAAAGATTCTAAAGAGACAGCAGACCATCTTTCAGAGGCAAATGTCAAGAGCGTCCAATATTTTAAAAATGACCCCAGCGTTATGTAGCAATAGTTGTTGTGAAATTTGCTATTTCTCCCTTTGTTATTCCTCCCAGAAGCAAAATAGGTCACAGAGTCAACGTGTTGTAAGTTGATTTATATTAATCCCTTGCAGATCTCTTCACAATTATTCCTCAAAATCAACCCAGAGGAGAGTCAGGGTGTTGCTCCCTTACACCTGTCAAGATACAGTCAATGAGAAATAAAGGAAACCCACATCTGAGGTCTAGTAACAGGAGGAAGCAACTCAGAAATCAAGCCCATTCCATTAATTTATTAGATTATTATTAGATCATGGCACGTCTTTTAATTCCAATTTTGTGTCTTTTCCCCACACCCTTCAATACCCTTGTCTATCAAGTATTCAGATCTTTTTTAAACTCTCTTTTAATTAATTATGATGTTTAAAAGAGATCTGCAATTAATTAATTAATTAAACACATAATTAATATTGCCTCTAAAGTATTCACAACTCGCTCCATCCGGGTCTGGGAACCAAGGCCTGACTGTTTCATACTATTTGCTCTTCTGCACCTTCAGAGTTGGTATAGGTTGGACTATTGCATTCCAGGTGGGCAATCTCAATTGATTATAGGCACCAATAATCTATCCAGCTCCCTCCAGAATCCCTTTCTCTGAGTAGTCTATATCGCATATTCACCACACTGTGAAGTAATTAAATCTAAATCTAAACCTCTTTACCTCTTCTGAGCTTGAGTCTATGCCACTTTGTCCCAGCATTGTGATCACGTCAAACATTATGATTGATTTAAAGCCCCAACAATATATAAATACTTCAATAAGAACTTTCGCTGGCTTTCTCTCTCCATCTCCCCATGGAAATTTGGCAATTCCAGTTGGTATCAGCTGTACTCTGTTACACAACAGACTTAATGTCAGTGTTGGGTGAACTGATTCCAGAACAGCTGGAAGAATTACTAAGGGAAGAGAGAAAATAAATTCACAGCTCTGCTAAAGTCTGCATTGGAATAAGGTTGTATTAATTTCTGCAAGTTGAAGGTGTAAAGATTCCTATCACAACTCTCTGATCTGAAATAACCCCAAAATATACATCAATCCATTTAATATATTCTGTGAAGTGCTTTAAGATGTCTTAATTATGTGATAAGTCGCTGTATCAAATTCAAGGATTATTTTAGTATTATCTGCAAAAAACAGCTTATTCAATTTTTAAGAATTTACTCAAAAGTCCAGCTAGAGGAACCAGTGCAAAACATTTGTTGCAAATTGTATTGGTGGGCAGGCTCTATTACCCCTCATCCCCACCCTAGGGAGAATGTGATTAAATGATGATCAAATAAACTGGGGAGACGGGCTTGATGAGCTGGGTAGCTTCCTCCTGGGTTATCCTTACCTTCGGATGGCCAGGCTGATGCTGGCAAAGTTGATTCCCCCTCCAAGTCCCACAGGGAAATATTAATTAGGACCAGGCTTTGCACTCAAACCTAACACCAGGCCACTCATTATAGTAACTATTTTGCAAGTAACTTGCTTTCTGAGCAAAATGGTTTCTCCGATGAATAAGGTCCCATTGTGGTCTCTGAAGATGGTCGTGGTATCTCGCAGAAACTTGCTGAGAGGACTAAAAGGAGCCAGCAGCCATCACCTGTGACCTACACAAGCTAGATTTTAAAACCAGACAATAATTAGTGGTCTATCACTTTCACATGTAGAATTTAACACTCGGGTTCTATAGCACCAGATCTCAACCCTCAGACCATGGTTTTAAAATTTAAAACTGTGCAGAATTTGGAAAATTGTTAAATTCAGGCTTAATCTGAAAGTTTTCCCACAGATCTTAAATTCAGACTCTCAAATGAGGACTTAATTTACAATTGGCCCAATGTGATATACATTGCTAATTGTAAGAATGGCATGAATTTAAAGCTTAGACCATGCTGCCCACTGCTATCCACAAAACATTTGTCTCATTCCAACTCTGACCTACTGCCCTCATTGCACTGGGCCAAGCTCTAGAATTAAACACGTTTTAAATTTAAACACCAATTAGTTTTGGACACCGAGGATATGAAAGTTTATTTTTTTATAAATGCTTTATTCTTTCAATAATAATTTTCATTCATTGCGTGGCGAGTTCCTAGACATATATGGCTCGCCCGAAGAAAGGCACTGAGCAAAGGCAGAGCAGCTACACGCAGGTACTGAGAGACTCAGAGTAAATTACTCACTGCATTGAGAGATAGTGACAGTCTTGGAGAGGAGATAAAAAGATGGAAAAATCCATCATAAGATGAATGCATGGACTTCATCTTAGAAATTATAGAATGTTCTAGTACTAGCAACCCCATTGGAGCTATGAGTAAATTAACTCAAGGATTGTTCAATAAATTGTATCACGAGTGTTGGGATATGAAACACCCTGCCAAGTATTAGAAGCAGAATCCATTATGGATTTCAAGAGGGAAGTAGACGAGTTCATGAAAAATAAAGGCGTTAAAGGGCCTGTGGATAAGGCAGGGCAGTGAGATTGAATGGAGAGCTTGCTTTGAGAGGTGGTGCAGACGCAATAGGCCAAATGGCCACCACATGGCATGGACTGTAAATTTCTATGACTGATACTATTTCCTTCTGCTTTACACCTTCCCTCCAGCTGCTTGTGTGGTGGGCGAGTGTGCATGAATGTGTGTGGATGGATATGGAGAATTGTAGAGGAGGTAATGATAGAAATGGTTGAGTCTGTCCTTTGGTGCCTTCACAGAACACATACGAAACATTGAGCACAGGCATGATCATACATCCTCCAGCACACTGAACAAAACTACATTGCAGATAGGAAAAACACTACATATGTATCGATTAAATCAATCTCCTTACTTTGCCCCTCCACTCAAAATGATGGGTCTTAATAATCCCTTTGGGATGGTCTGAAATTAGTTGTGTAGGTCGCAAAATATGGCTGCTGTCTTTTTCAGAGTATGGTCATTTTTATACTTGTGCTCTTCAATCATTTTCTACCTGTGACCTTTGTGGTCGCCACTGTAAGTGTCTATTAGTGTAACCGTTTGTCTGTAAGCAGCAGGACTCTGCGGATGACTATAAGGACGCACACGCAATTTTGTAAAACACACAGCCGGCCATTTTACTAAGAATTGTGTTAATGCCACAGACACAGCTTGTACCTGCATGGACTTGTAAAAACCAAACTATTAAAACTTATCAGCATTGGCACATCTGATTCTGGAAATGCTTTCCCATATCTAGCTGTTTGGGTCACACACACACACACACACCATTCTCTCCTGCTCACCCACATTTACGTTCCCTAGAATGGAATACACAGGTAGGCACACCAGGCCTTCTATTCCTGTCAGTGATGAACTGTTAACTGTGCAGTGACAAGGGCTGTACTACCCCAGGCAGAAACCTTATAGCTTGGCCCTTTGCAGGGAAAGTGTTTTGAGAAAGATGTACTGCCCACCTCTCTGTTAACGTAGCTCATTTCTCTCAATACAAGGGATAGCAAAACATCCAAAATCATGTTTTCAGCTCCCCTATTCCTGTTAGCATCTGATTGACTTCTATAAGTCTTCTCTGAAACAGCTATGGAAAAGAGAGTGCTTTTCAGAAACAATCATTCCTCACAGCTTAACACTGCTTCCAGAGCCAAGTCACCTCCTTTCCTATGTTCACCGTGACTGGCAGACCTGTGGGTGCTTCTCAATCAAAACACTGCAGAGCTTAATAATTCCTCCATCTGAAATCAATTAATTTGCTTTAAGATTGCCGGAGGGATGGAAACGTGAAAATGATATCATTCTGGCAATTTTCGAGAAGACACGAGAGCAATGAGATTGGATTTCAAAACAGGAGGAAAATGTGCCTACATTTCAAAGCTTGATTTTAATTACAATAATTCATTTAAAATGCAAATTAAACTTAATAAAATGGAGTTTTATTTTAAATTTTTGCCACAACAAGCTCTATATTACATTCAAAATGTATTTATATTTTTTTTATAATACAGGACAGAGTTAGAAGCCGAGAAACAGAATATCTACACACATTCACAAATAAGTTAACTCTGTTGCTGCCATGCTCACAAAGGCGAGTGGTACAGTGATGGGAGCAAGTTTAAGTTCAGTAGAGAGTTAAAGCAGTTTGTAAGTCGCTGAACTGGTCCCCAATGTCTGAGTCACAAATGGAGCAAAAATATTTAAAAGTATCCTTTACACACGAGAGAAATGCGAGTTAACTCGGAACTTGCACGGAAATGGATAGTGGGCGATGAGAGCAAGCAGCTAATGAAGAACAGACAAACGGGAGTGATATGGGAAATACTGGACTGTCATTTATTCAATGCCTTTACAGGGCCTCAACTCTACAGATTGCTTCTCCTCTCACCAAATGCATTCAACCTCTCCTCCTCCCCTCCCTATAAATTTTACTACACATTACCAGTGATTTGGAAAATAGGCAAATGCTCGGGAGTGGATTTTGAAGTGGCTTTTGCTTTAAAATACACAAATTCCATCCGTGAATCATGCACAACGTTTTCAGACATATCTGAGGGTTTTGTACACAATAGACAAGCTATGAGATCATGGCTATTATTTTACAATTTGGATAAACTCTTACATTCATATTTCAGATTTTCCATTTCACTCTCGTTTGTAGATCAGAATTCCTCCAGTCCTTAATATTGGGACATTCACAAAACCATTGCTGAACTGTAGCATTTTACACAGGTTATAACAATATCAGACTGTGCTACGTAAACATGGATACAGATAACACTGAAGGTTGAATAGAGGATTTCTCAGAACAGATTTGAAAATAGAAAGAATCTCGATTTTTTTTTATTGAAGAAACACATGATCAGTTACAAAGTACCAGTGATTAATCTCCATGTCTCTCTCTGGGGAATTCAGAATATTTAATCCCAAAACCTTGGACACAGAGATTTAAACTACAATGCACACGGGCAGATGTAAACACTGATCTCCCATCCATCAGTGACAATCAAAATCAGACTGAACTACATAATAGTGTGCGCGTATAACACAAGTGTATTATGGGAACCTCAGAACATCTGTTGGGCAGGAGCTGTTTACTACTCGCTTGGCTAATCTTAGAGGTCGATTCAGCCACTGAAGCCACTACAAGGAGCACAGCACAGCTCCTTGTCTGATGAAAATACAGACTTGTGGGTAGCAGAGCTCTTTGAAGTAGAAGCCACATCAGATAAAAGTAAATGGTTCCATATGGGTAGACTAGAATCCCAAGCACAACTAAAGTTTATCAGAAGGTCACTTCCACTGCAGGCACTGTTACCTGCAGAAGAGTGTATAAAGATGTGCCCTGAACACTAATATCCACATTACCCTTGTAACTTGTGCGTTGGGAGTGTGGACTCCATGGGGTAGCCTACCAAAGTATTTGGGGATGAATGAAGACTTAAGTTACTCCAGTCAACCTGTGTCAACCGCAGAAAGGCCAACAATTCCTCTGCTCCTTTCCCCCTTGTCGGAATACGCCAAACATTCCCGTGCATCTCTTTGGTTGCATTCTGCATCTTAATGATTCATCGGTTTAGTAGAATTTTCTGATTACATGCAGAAATATCTCAAACAGAAGCACCTCACAGACAGCGAAATATTAATAACATTTATTTTCCTACACAACACATTAAAGCTAACTCCCAATAATTTCTAGCATAAGCAGCACTTAAAAGTACTGGCTAGTTACATTCATCATTTTAGCCTGAGGGTTAAAGGCTGGCAGTCTCATAGATGGGACACTGGTGGAGAGAGGGAGATGGGGTTTGGAGTTTGGACGGCCTGAATTTCAGGTCCTCTAGAGTCCCAAGTTTATCCAAAGTGGTTGTTCTTCCCCAAACTGAGGTGATGTGGTCAGTAGCTGCTCATATGTTGCCACAGAGAAGCAGCATTGGGAGTTGCGTATTCCCAGTTGGTTATTAAGGTCAGCTACGATAACTGATACCAGTGAGGAGACACACCCTCATTCAACCACCTGGAATTACAGCAATGGCAATCTCCATTCCCTCCACTGACGCTTCTCCACTACCATGTTCCTTTCTAATAACTAGACAGTATACACTGAATGCCTGAATTGAATCAATGTACTGCTTTGTGATCCATTCAGTTCTCTCATGTACACAATGCATGATCTGTGCCACACACACACACAAAATATACTTGTGATTGCACAACTAGCTACTGACAACATGAATTGCAGGCTTTAAGACAACCAGAATAAGGCCCTCTGCTCTAAATAAGATAAGGTTTAAATATCGCAAATAACCACTTCATGTTTAGAATTGGTTTGCTAAAGACAAAGCTGGGCGAGCTGAGAAGATGTTACAACAGCAGCAAAAGAAGACACACACCCACATATAGGCAGAGATGCGACCTGGAGATACCTGGGACAGATTTGGACTAAATGAAGGCACACATTGCTATACAGGAAACAAACCGGCAGTTTAGCCACACATAAACGATGAAATGCCAATACAGTAAAGCTGGTCAGTGGGTCACTCAGCCTGACATCTGCTCAGCCTTTAGCACCAAATGTTTCTCTAATTTTATGCAAGCTTCACCTTTTTTAAAAAAAACAGAACATCATATAATTGCCACAATTAAACACCCTCAAGCATTACATCCACTGTTGTGCCTCCCAATCTGCAAGTACAGTACAGTATGATTGGAAATCGCAGCCAGAGCTCAGAAGAATTTCTCAATGCTCCTGTGCTTCACATCACACGAGGCTTTGCGTGATTCAGCCCTGACTGCACCATTTTTGCCCAACTTCACTTCAATTTTGGAACCAGCATGGTTACTGGAATACAGCTGTGGGTAGAGGGATATCATTTGGAGTTACCTCCCTTCCTGGGGTGTTCCACAAGTACGCAGTGCCACGCACTTCCAATGTGATTGAGCTGCTCTCACCCTACACTATGGTGGCAGAGTCACCCCCAGCATCCATACAACAAGTGGACGCACCCCCACTCACAATATCTGAACTATGACTCCTGCAGTTTTATTTTGCTCACACTGGGTGGGGGGGGGGGGGGGGGGGAATTGGGTAACTGCCCACATTACAATCAGGAGCTCAGTGGCCTTTCAACGAGATACCTGGCTGTGGTTTGGGGGACAACAATGTAACCAAGGGGTGAAGACACGTGCAACAAAGCAATCCAAAATATGTGCATCTACATCCATCAATGTCGTTTCCCAGTACCTACACATTCTCAGCTCAGTTCTCAAAACACGCAAGTCACACCCGATCCCATTCACACACACCAGTCACATACCATAGCCCTCTGGACAGAAGGGGAATCTGGATTTCCCGTCACTGTAAACAAACATTTTGGAAAGGAGCAAGAAATGGGACGTTTAGCTGCAGGAGAAAAATCTCAAGAATTCCTCATTAGCAAAAGCAGAGCAAATGGGTTAGAACACTCCTTGCATTTGACATTCAAGGTTATTCAAGGTGCTGGGAGAGACCAATTGGGTTGAGCCCAACACTCAATGCTGCGAGGCTAGGCACCAGCCATGGTCATAACGGGCATTAAACAGTGGAGAGTTTACAGATTTCTCTCCCTCACTCCCTGAGACAGTCAAAGGCAGGCATCAAAATGGCATTTACATGAATAAGAGTGGTTTTCCTTCTCCCTCTGTTCGTACAAGACAAACACTGCACACAAATAAACAAGGCCAGGTGAACTCACAAAAGAAAGGAAGGGTATTTTTGAAGGCTCCTTCCATTCTTCCCCACCTACAGATACAAATGGTTTCCACTTCTATTGGTGACCAATCTTCAATAGGGCCACTCCCAGAGGTTCTGGAAGGAGTGCTAAATGTGCTCGCTCAGATCACTTCTCCACAGCTAGCTCCCATGTCAGCGGTGCTTTCCACAGGCATCAATGGGGAGCCAAGCACCGAATGTAAACAGCATGTATAGCGAGGTGGAAACAAGTGCACTAACCACAGCAAGTCAACAAATGCTGACATGGAGCTACAGGGGTTACATAGCCAAGAGGCATCCCACCCAACACTGAGGACGATGGGCAACAGACTCCACAACCCTCTTAAAAAGCTACTGCACTCCACACTGTCCACTCTCCAAAAGTAATGAATAAAAGGGAGTTTCAGTAATCCTTCCCTCCACCCCAGGACCACCAAAAGAACCACATTCACATGTCATCAGAAAGTGCAGGACCAGCATGACTGAGGGACCTCTGCACCTCACCCAAGGCATTGCCTGCTTTTCAAACGCAGTTTGAACCAAATATTGAATACGAACATGATAAACTCCACACTGGGTAGTTCGGGATGAGCAGAGATCCGTGTAGAGACGAGATGGTGAATGTCTTAACTCGTATATTAACAGCTCTGCACACCCAACTCAGGCTGGTGGAGTAGAGACAACCACGAGCTTGTAACAAAGTACGTTGTCCCAGCAATGGAGGGACGCACTGATGTACTGAAATTCTAATCTAGACCCATATGTTACAGCTCAGACCTTGTAGACAAAAGAATGATGAAAAAATACAGAAAGCACAACTTCAACCCATTGCTGTATAGAACAAGCCATTAAGCTTCAATATACGCACCAATTATTGAATCAGCCCTTCGGACAGCAATTCCTTAATCAAGACGCTTTAGGTGGCAGAACAATGATTTCATATATTATATATGTATGTGTTCAGACCCCCAACCCCACCAAGTTGCAGTGTATAAAACAGACATTTAATATTCATTGTTGTGGAGAGACCTGAAGATTGAATCTGTGAAAATATAAAGTGTGATACATTTGTTGTGTATTCCCATCCCCCCTTCTCTACCCAACCCTCTCAACCCACCTCCCGACCCCAATCATAGCATTTATATTCTCCACTGATCACTTGTTCCTGGTTCCGCATCTTGAGGAATCAAGTGATTCCACTCGAGCTCAACAGATAAACTAAAGTCAACAGCTTTGCCAATTAGCGACACTTGACTGCAGTAATGAAGATCGTGAAACTCGCACAAAGCCAACAGCTCCAGTAAAAGCATTGAGCCACTCCACAGTGCAACGTTCAACAACACACTCATCCTTCCACAAAATGATTCACTTTCCTTTTACTGTTGCAAAAATAGACTTTTAAAAATGACTTTGGTTATGGAGGCCCGCCATTCTGGTGGTGAGTTATAAAATCTATACAAAGATCCGACTGGCTGAATGGAGTTGAGTCGCAGAAAGCTATGCAGCTGAAGTGGTACAAAAAAAGCCCCAAAACGTCCTCTGCACATTTTAAAACACTGAGTGAATCTTTTCCCTTTGCTTTCCTCCCTCTCTCCCTCCCTTTCATTTCCACATCTGGGAGCTGAGGGATGGACTGGAAGCCGGTGCTGCGCCCGCCCCCATCGACACCGACGGCTGCCCATAGCCCACCACCCCTCCAGCACCGTAAAAGTTGAAACCCGCCATCTGATGAGTCATCTGAAAAACAAAGACGACGACAATTTGAGGAATTTATACAGCGGGTTTCAACATCAAGATCCTTCTGGAATTACATTGCTGCTCAGGTTGAACATACACAACAACAACTTGGATTTATATAGTGCCCCTCACACAAGGTAGCGTCCCAGAGCACTTGGTGTCATATAATCATCAGCAGGGAGGGGGGAGAGGGGAGATAGCGTGGGAAATTTACAATCCCTCAGTCCACTCGAGGGAAGCTTTAGTTGGCAGAACAATGGTTTTATATAATTATATGTGTTCAGACACCCATCCCCCCTCCTCGCAAGATTCTTCAAATCTAAGACATCTTATAACCATTTCACTGGTTCTCGAATGGTGCGGGGGTGGGGTGGGGGGGGCTAGCCAGGCAAATCCACTAAAAATCATTAACAGGTCCACTGGGGTCGAAAAGGGCAGCTGTAACATTGAGACACAAAATACATACATAGAACATGTGCTTCAAAGCCTGAGTGGGAACCCAAGCTGTGCAAGCGATGGGGTCGAAGGAGAGTGGCTGAAGGCTTAGTTGGAGAGAGTTTAAGTGGGTTTTGAAAGCAGAGAGAGAGAGAGGAAAAGGGGGAGACAACGTGAAAGGATTTTAGAAGAAAGCTCCAGACAAATGAAGGCAGAGACACTTAATGTCTTACTTAACATCTCCTCCAAAGGACGGAACCTCAAACAGTGCAGTGCTCCACAACACTGCACTGGAGAGTCAGCTGAGACTCAGCTCAAAGTCCCAATGTGAGGTTAAGACCAACAAACCTCTGACTCAGACGCAAGAGTGCAACCAACGTAGCAAGGCTGACAACTGGACATTTACAACAGTCACAGTGATTAGCAACATTTTTTTTGGGTGGGGGGGTCAACAGGAATTCTAGTTAGGAGTTACCTTGAGCGTACAACAAAGCAATATTAGCACACTTGGCATTTACCTGAGTAATATTCCACTGCAACTGCTGTGCCTGTTGCACCCCATATACTGGCTGTTGCATGCCCATACCACCCATGTATCCTCCCTGTGCTGCCATCACTCCGTTAGGCACTCCCATTACCCCTGGGTGCATGTTGCCAACAAACCCTGCTGGCATCGCCATCATGCCCATTGACTGTCCCATCATGTTACTGGGCGGAGTCACCGTACCACCCATAGCCGGGAAATTTGGATAGCCAGATGGTGGGCAGGCGGCATATGGCATCTGAGCAGAGGGCATGAACATGGCACCTGTCAAAAAAGAGAAGAGATAATTAGTCACTTTGCTGCTGTTAACCTTCGACTGCAGCTTACACTGGCATTAGTGTGCTTCAAAAATAAATAAAAATAATAATAAATTGGTTATTCAATGCACGACTGTTTGTGAGACGCTGCTGTACGAATTGGCTGCCGCATTTTGCCCACAAAATATACAGTCAATTCACTTTACAGTACACTCTGTGAAGCTCTTTGAGACGTCTCGAAGACATGATAAGGCGCTATATAAAAAGCAAGGATTATTATTATTCATCTTTGACAAGGGAACATCAAATACATTGGTTTGTTAACACACTTATATAGCAATTTTGATGTAAAAGAATATCTCAAATGGTGACCAGAAGGGAAAGATTGAAAGATGTTGAATAACAGCACAGTTGAAGAGATAAGTTTGAAGCATTTTAAAAGCTGGGTGAGCGGCAAAGTGGTAACAGAAAGAGTTTCAGAGGATTGAGTCAATGAAAGCTCAGCAACCAATAGTGGAGTGAAGGCAGTGAAGAGCAAGCAAAAGATCAGCATCAGACAATCATGAGATTGGCTGGAAAAGATTGCTGCATTCCTGACTGCAAATGTCGCGATCAGTTGAAGCTTCCAGAGAGTGGTGCAGGGAAGGGGTGCTGGCTTCCAAGGAGAGCATTAGAAAAAAAATATTCTTGAGGAAATAAAAGCATGGATAAAGGATCCAGCAGCAGTGAAGCAAGGTCATAGCAGGACATCTAGCGGGAGTGTCCAAGTACCAATGTCAGCCGTGACTACCACAAGTGCAGGCACCCAGAGTAAGGGAGAATAACATGGAGTAGAGACACAGAGGAAGCTCGAGAATGCACAGTAATTCAAGTCGAATTTCCAAGAGTTTACCCGATGCACAAACATTTTTCCAAAGTTCTTAAGTAAATAATGTGGCCAATTGTGTGGCTCACTGAGGAAAGCTATATGCTGTGATCCAAATGCTGAACGGATCATACTCATACGGGTCATACTGCTCTCACCCACCTTGCAATGAACTCCTGCAGCACAACAGCTTGCAGAAATATGTGGCAACGTATGATAATAATAATCCCAAAACAAAAACAACAATAATAAGAGAGGGGAAAGAGCTATGTACACCAGAGCATACAGCCAAGCAACTGTCGTATTCTCAATTGAAAGAAAATTTGCATTTTTCTTAGTGCCTAACATCAAAACAGCTCAAACGATTTGAAATAATAACTATCAAATGTAGTAAATTGTTTTTTGTAGGCAAACAACAGCCACGAGGTGAATGACTAACGTATCTGGCGGTTTGTTGTCGAGGACACTGGGAGAAACTTCCTTCTATTTTTGAATCGTGTAATGGGATCTGTAACATTCATCCGAGGCATTGGCCGACAAAGGGATCCAGTTTAACATCTCAATGAAAGAATGGCACCTTTGAACGATGCAGCATTCCCCTACATTGCAGCAATCTACAGCAGGTTTGGAATACTCCACTGCACTTTTGATAAAGGACCAGTCAACCTGGCTTGTCAGCAGGACTTACAGTACAGGAGTCACCCCTTCCCCTACCCCTGTGGGTTCGAATTCAAGATCCTCATCCTCACCTACAAGGCCTTGCTCCCTCCTACCTCTCTGACCTACTATCCCCCTACTTACTTGCCCGTACTCTCCGTTCCTCTGGCTCCAGTCTGCTCCACATCCCCCGCCACAACCGCCCTACCATCGGTGGCCGGGCCTTCAGCCTCTCAGCCACGAGGCTCTGGAACTCTATCCCCCAGTGCCTTCGCCGCTTCCTCCCTTTCCTCCTTCAAGGCCGGTCTCAAGACCTTTCTCTTTGACCGAGCCTTCAGCTCCCCTCTCGACTCTCTACCCCCTCCTCGCTCCCTCACTTCCTCCCCTCACCCTGACCATTTCCCCCCTGCTCGGGTCCTGACCCAACTGTCTAGCGCCTTGGGACGTCCTCCCGACGTGAAAGGCGCTCTATAAATGGAATCTTGTTGTTGTTGTTGTAGCAGTGACCTGGACTATATCAGCCCTGACTATAGGCTCAAGTCTTGATATGGCTTGAGCCTACAATAAGATTGCCACCTAGCAGGCCAAGTTGACTATGTAAAATGATTTATGCCTGGTTTAATTAATTAGGAAATGCACCTTGAGCAGGTACTTGGTGCGTCTGCGAACCGTAAAGAGACAAGATGGAATCTTTGGAGAGCTGTTTCTTCCCAGATTCGTCCGCTTTTGAAGTAGGTTCGGCAAAGAGATTCAGGCTTTCAGCATCTCCTGTTGGAACGGAGGGTGCAACCTGCAAGACAAGATGGGGAAAGGTGAAGTTTTGAATTATTTTCACTGGTCCTCTTCCCCCCGGGTCATGACCCAACTGTGCAGCGCCTTGGGACGTCCTCCTGACGTGAAAGGCGCTTTATAAATGGAATCTTGTTGTTGTTGTTGTTGGTGTGGTTCATTAGAGACCATTGGGCTGGTCAATTCTCCTCCCTTTCCTCAGCCCCTCAGCTCACCCGCAGCTCCAGACATGGCCCCGCCTGGCAATGCCACCCAGACTGAGCTGCAGCTACTCCTTCTCTTCATCTCCATGAAGCTAAAGCAAAGCCAAGCAGATTCACATTGTACATAAAGTGGAAGAACCCAGTTAAACCATACCTTACAGAACTAGTAACCCTGTAATCTTCCCCTTTGACACTGGTGGCTAACCTTTTTCGTCGGCCAACAAAATGGAGAACATCTTAGCTGGCACTCAGCAAAGTCCACTCTGTGCCTTGATCAATAAATGTGGGGCTTAATAATACTAATCTTTGCATTTCATATAACTCCTTATCATGTTCGAGACATCTCAAAGTGCTTCATAAAATATACTGTAAAGTGAATTGACTATATATTTTGTGGGCAAATCACAGGCACAGCCCAGTGTCCTACCACTCCTGGGGCCCTTGAACATGATCAAGACTGGTTGGGTTGTGACCGTTGGAAAACAGACACTGTTAAACAAAGGCAGTACTGTAAGGATACATATGAAGCTACATATTCAAAGCAATACAGTTTAACTTGCTGCCTGAAGCAATGATTGAAGCAGATAGTGTAGATGCATTCAAGAAGAGGGGAATAGAAGGGTGTGGGAGGGAGTAAGGAATGGGAATATAAACACTGGCTTGGTGGGTTGGACCAAGTGGCCGTTTTGGTGCTATACATTCTTTGTACATCTTTGCAAGCAGTCTGAAGCTAAATGTATTCACCCAACTCTCTACACACAAAGTTAATGCACCCAAATGGAAGTATGCCTGTCTATGACCATCGGACACACACATTTCTGCACTCCACTGTTTCACTCAACAGATGAAATCCCGATAATGTCACCAAAAAGCATCGCTATCCATATAATACAATGAATATTTAATGGATGAATAGGGATCTATTGCACTCGAGTCACTCCCTCACTGCGTTTAACCTAAGCCAAAATGATCGAGCATCAAAGCATCAGAGTCCACATCTGTGGTTGCAGAAGCTCACACAAACCTGATTTGTGTGTGAGCTGCATTCAGTCAGTGGATTGGACATCATGGGGCCGAAGAGGTCATCGCTAGGGAAAGCTGCAGTTACACTCGGGGGCCCATTGGGAATAGGGGCAGCCACAGGAGCATCTAGGAAAATAAACAAAACACTTCAGAATACCATCCACAGCTTAGCTCCTGAACACAACAATACAACTTAAAGATTAAAGAGAAGCTTCAACAAGTCAAAGTTAAAGAAAATGGAACACAAGGTTAGTGACGCTTAGATTATCACTTCTGCTTGCAAGTTACCTGCATTGTTATTTCCATGCGAAGTTATACACACAATTTACACTTATATAGCATCTTTCAAAGCGCTACAATTCAAGACAACCGTGACTGGGCAATGAAACTGAAGGATTGAGAAGGAAAAAGATGATTGAGAGCATAGTTAAAGAGGTAGATTTTGAGGTTTACCTTAAGAGGGGAGAGAGGGAGTCGGAGGAACCTGGGAATTGCGTTCCAGAGAGCGGGCACCAAGTAGCTGAAAGCCTGTTAGCTGATGGTGGGCAGATAGAATGGGGGAACATGAAATAAAGGGAAGGCCGAATAAAGGGAAGGAGGCTGCAGGGTTCGGGCGGGGTGAGGAACCAGTAGAGCTGAACTAAAACGGGGGTGACTTTCCTGGTAGCCTGTTTTGGGAGAGGACTCTGAATGCAGATTTCTGGACAGTCTGCATCCTGTGCAGAGATTAAAGAATGGAGAGTGCAGCGAGCAGAACATTGGCATAATCGAGCCTGGACATAATAAATGTGTGGATAAGTATCTCAGTGGTCTGGAATGAGAGGTAGTGACGCAGGCATGGACAATAGCTGAGCGAGTGAGAACACAGATGTGGTCAACAGTCAACTGGAGAAAGGTTCAGCTCCTCCAGGACTTGCTGCCTACCAGGCAATCAGTCAGAAGAGCAGTGGTCCTGGAATCGAGGAATGGAGCCAGAAATATAGAATTTCTCCCACAAATATGCAGTCAATTCACTTTACAGCATATTCTGTGAAGCACTTTGAGACAACTAGAAGACGTGAAAAGCACTATATCAAATGCAAGGATTATTATTATTTTTTATTTATTGTGTGGCAAACTAAATACCCAGGTCACAGCAAGCGTGAGCTAATGTCAGTCATGTGAACTGGGGAAGAAGACAGAAAATGGGGAAGCGAGGAGATTAAAGTTTTCCATCAAATGGCGTAAAGGAACATCCTACAAATACTCCCACCCAACTCGTACTCAAGAATTGTTCACTATTGCTAGCATCTGACACTGTGAAAGGCACTATATGTGTCAAGTGTTTTTTTTCTGGGTGAGGAAAACTACAATGGTTGCACACAAGGAAGGGTGTGGGTGGGGGAAATCTCTTAGCTTTTCCTGCGACGTGAGAAAGTGAAGAAATGCAGAGAGTTAAGGCACTTCAATGCAGTAGAAGAGTTAGCAACACCCCTTGCTTACCAAGCAGCTTGTTTTACAAGCAACAACCGAACTCAGGAAATGTCAAACAGCACGGGGAGAACACAAACTCAAGAAGCGAGAAAATTAAGCACAGCCAAAGTTGCGATTCACAACAACTTGTATTTATATCACACCCTTCGGGGGGGTGGGGGGCAGTGACTCTGAGCACCTGAAGTAAGTAACACACTGAGTAGGCTGGAGAAAAGTTCCCTCTCTCCCCCTTTACCCACAACACTAGTCTCAATGGTGAAGACAGAGAAGAGGAAGAGGCCATAAAATGCAGCATCTTTAACACTGTACTTTCCAGTTCTATAAGCTTTCCAGTAACTCAGTCAGTATTCTGCTAACAAGGAGTCAAAAGAGGAAGTTCAATCCTGCTACCATAGTTGGTAACGGTGATGTATATGTCTCATTCGATGTGATAAATATAACATGGAGCACACATTTGACTGCATTATTTTGTTTTGCATTGCAACTTAGTTTCCCCCACCCACTGCACGGTTATGAGAATGAAATGGTTTCCAATCGTCTTCACTGTACACTGACATGTTGTACTGTTCTGGGCGGCCAGCAGTGTCTGACACAAGTGCAAACCCATCCCCATGCTTAAGAGCATCCAAGCCAAGCATTAGGTGCAAGTTGGCAAGAGCTTATGGACTCCAGAGGCATTGCTTTGGAATAGGGCTGAGGTATAACCTGCTAACTCATGCTGCTATTTATTGTTACAGTGATTAGCAAGGTTCCCGTTATGGAGACCAGCCTACCCATTAAACCTTGGGTTTGCAATGATTAACAGGAGCCGAGTGGAAAGAATCCCTGCCCCCGGTGACTCCTGTACTCCAAGTCCTGCTGACAAGCCAGGTTGACTGGTCCTTTATCAAAAGTGCAGTGGAGTATTGCAGACCTGCTGTAGAGAATCGATTCAGTTCAAATATTCCATCGGTAACCATATCCATAACTTAGAGCGACTTCAATTGCCACGATACTATCATTCTTTGAACCTCCTGAAGTGTATCAAGTTGAAGAATAGCAACCAAAACTAGAGGCCAGTGCAAGTGTAATCACAGTAGACAGATTATCCTTGATTTCCTCTGACATATTCTATAATCATGCTCGGCACAAAGTTTTCTATTTTCAAAGAACAACAGGAAACATGTGAAGGAAGTGTACTACCAACGTGGTTAGTCTGAAGATACAAATTCGGTGAGAAGAATCAGAGACGCTTCTGTCTTACCTAGTCCCAGCAAGTCCACCACACGCCCAGGTGGTTCTGAAGGGCTGGTTTTCAACTGTGGCGGTTCTTCCCTTTTTGGAGGCTTGTGGAATAAAGGAAATCGAAATCAATTTATAATCACAAACTGGCTAAATAACAGGCTAGAATAATGTAGCAAGGCTTCAAAGGAATCCTCGCCAGGCCTCGGTCAGCTACTCACAAACCTACACACTCCCCTCCTAGTAAATTTTCAAGACAAAGCTGCAACAAGCAAGGCGGTCCTGGATTAATACACAGCATTGTCCACCATCAAATACAACAAGAGGGGGTAAAAACTACAGGTGCCTCTCTCCAGGGAAAGAGCCAGACACAGCAAAACTTTGAAATGCCTCTAAGACGTGATAAGGTGCTATATCAAATGCAAGCATTATTATAATTAACAGACAACACAGGAAGACTCGGTAATTATTTGTCCCAGTTTAGCATGACTATCCCAGACTATATTTTGGCACTGTCTGCCTAGGTTATTGGCTGGTATTGCAGACCACCTCTGGCATCACTGTAAAGGGAGTGATGTCAGTAGAGACCTGATGAAGGTGGAAATGCTGACTGTTTGACTTTTTTTTAAAAGCACACTCATTTAGAATGCAGGGCCTAAGTTTAAGAACCCACACCACCGTGTTATAAAAGTGTAGAGAGAATAAACTCTCTTAAACCTAAGGGCCACAAAGACTGAGTAAGTGGCACCCAGTCACAATTATTTTGCAACAGCACAACTTCCGCTCTTTGTGCAATCGGAATAAGCCCAGACTCCGTAGGAACTAACACTACAAATTCTCATCCACTAAGTCAGAGGCGCAGAGAACACGAAAAACTGCAAATCAGCAAATGCTCAATGAATCTGTGTGCCTCAGAAAGCCATTCTAAGCTGCAAATAGATTTGCACCAAATAGTCAGAGAGTGATAGTGCTGAAGGATTTGTTCCAGCGCATTAGAGAGGAAGAGCAGGTTGAGGATAATAATCCTTGGATTTGATAACAGTGCCTTTCACGTAGGAAGTTGATTCTGAAAGCACTCCACAGGATACACTATAAAGTGCAGTGACTATATTTTGTAAGCAAATATGTTGGTAGCTGGAGAGAATGGAGGATTGAGTAAAATTTTCTTGAGTTTGGGGGGCCGCGGGGTGGCGTTAGACATCAATATTATATCAAATTGCAACACCTTTATAACTGGGTTCCACAGTGCCCAAACTGAAAATAGCCAGCCAAAAGACTGACTAGGAATAATCCCGTTTGCAAGCATTAAAATCCCAGCATGGAGATAGATTTTGACTTAATCAAAGCCAAACTATGAACTCACCACTTTCACTTTTTCAAAGATAACTGGCCGAGTCGGACTTGCCTTTGGTTCACTCTCTTTATTCCATTTATTCTTTTCTTTCTGCAAGCAAACCAAGGAGTACAATTGGTCACGTGCACACGTGAATAGAGTTATTTTGTACTATGTTCTTTGAGCTGGATTGCACATGATCTGACAGAAGGTGCACCATTCATAGCTTCCTCACCGAAAGGAACTAGAAAGTGAAAATTCCGACATGTGATGCGAAAGTCACTAATTTTATAGAACAGAAAATTCCGCTTTGTCAAAATTGCATGCTTCCCCTTCGAAACTGTCACAATGGCTGGGTTCAAGGTCACCTGCAACTGCCACTGATCTACACCAAACCAGTGACAGCTTTAGGTCCAACCATAGTAACGAAGTTGGAATGGGGGGGAATAGAGGAAGAGAGAGTGGGGAGGTGTCACATCTGCAGCCAGACATCATTTAAAAAAAGACGAGACGGTCACAAATGTTTGACTTGATTCTGATATTCCATTGCCAGGTAGGAGACCACACACACAACACCCACCCCACCTAACCGCAGGTCCTGAAAACTGTGGGGGGATGTTCAAGAATTGTCTCAATATCAAATCTCTTTCATTTTCAATCAGGAACAAAGAACCTCACAGATGAAGAGATGGTGTGTGTACTACGACTACATACACTACAACAATTCCATTTCACGTTGGAAGGATGTCCCAAGGCATTGGACAGACGATAGTTTGCACCCAGGTTTAGGTACATTGAACACTCACCCTGAACAAGGCAATGTCAATGCTTTTATCCATATATTTCTTCTTCTCATACTTTTCTCGTATGAAGCCCTCCACCGCACTGAATCATTAATTAAGGTAAAAATTAAATCAAAGTAGATTGAAATTCCGTCGATGGTGGGGTTGTTGAGAGTGATTGGTGCAAGGTACATTCAATACTAAGTGGGAAACCTCAGCAAAGGTCAGTGGGTGCTGGAGGAACACTTCAATGGTTTTGAATTAGTGTTGAAACAAGGTGGTCAAAATGGGACTCGTGGTACATTTCCCAGCACTGACACCTTTCCCCAACAGTTAAAGACAAAAGGATACTGGTCCACTTGTGGGCGACGGAAGTTCTCAGGAAGGTGTGCTTCGTACAGTATCTTGGCTTTTTCATTTCCCATTTCCTGGATACACTGTTGAACAAAAAAGGAAAGAGTTGAAGCTTAATTTGAGGCCTCCAATGCAAACATTTCACATAGAGAATCTATGAATGTTTCAGCCATTCTGCCCATCATGTCTCCTCTCTCAAAGAGCAATGGATTTATAATAATAATCCTTGCGTTTGATATAGCGCTTTTCATGTCTTCTAGACGTCTCAAATTATGATTTAGTCCCAAACCCCTGCCCTTACTCTATACCTTTCAAATATTTGTTCAAATCTCATTAAAAAAATATTGTGCATTCTATCTCACCCATTTTTACCCATTCCCTGATAATCCTCTGTTACAGCCTCCCATGACGTAACACCACTATTTAAGAAGGGTGGGAGAGAAACGATGGGGAACTATAGACCAGTTAGTCTGACATCAGTGGTAAGGAAAATTCTTGAGTCCTTAATTAAGGATGTTGTTATAGGATTCCTGGAAGACCATAACAAGGTTAGGCAGAGTCGCTTTACAAAAGGGAAGTCATGCTTAACTAATCTTTTAGAGTTTTTTGAAGATGTATCTAGCAGGTTAGATAGGGGGGAACCAGTAGATGTAGTGTATTTAGATTTTAAGAAGGCATTTGACAAAGTGCCACACAAAAGGCTATTACACAAGGTTAAGGCCCACGGGATTCATGGGAGCATATTAGCGTGGATTGAAGAGTGGCTAATGGGTAGAAAACAGAGAGTGGGGATAAACGGGTCATCTCAAATTGGCAGGATGTGACTAGTGGAGTGCCACAAGGATCAGTGCTGGGCCTCAGCTATTTACAATTTACATCAATGATCTCGACGCGGACATTGAATGTAACGTATCTAAATTCGCGGATGACACTAAACTAGGTGGGAGAGTAAGCTCTGAGGATGATGCAAAAAGATTGCAACGGGATATAGATAGGCTAGAGGAGTGGGCGAGTAGGTGGCAGATGGAATTTAATGTGGGGAAGTGTGAAGTTATTCACCTAGGTAGAAAAAATAGAAAAACAGATTATTTTCTAGAGGGGGAGAGATTAGATAGTGTTAGTGTTCAGAGGGATTTGGGTGTCCTTGTACACCAGTCTCAAAAAGTTAGTTTGCAGGTGCAGCAGCAACTAAGAAGGCGAACGGCATGTTAGCGTTCATTGCAAAAGGTTTAGAGGACAAGAGTAGGGAAGTCTTGCTGCAACTGCATAGGGCCCTGGTGTGACCGCACCTGGAGTATTGTGTGCAGTTTTGATTTCCTTATTTAAAGAAGGACATACTTGCCTTAGAGGGGGTGGAGCGTAGATTCACTCGGTTAGTTCCTGGGCTGAGGGGACTGACCTATGAGGATAGGCTGAATAAACTAGGGCTGTATTCTCTAGAGTACTGAAGAATTAGGGGAGATCTTATTGAAACATATAAGATTCTTAAAGGGCTGATAAAGTAGACACTGAGGGTCTGTTTCCCCTGGTAGGAGAGTCTATAACCAGGGGTCACAGTCTTAAAATTAAGGGTTAGCCTTTTAGAATAGAGTTGAGGAAACATTTCTTCACTCAGAGGGTAGTGAATTTATGGAATTCACTACCCCAGAAGGTTGTAGATGCTCAGACCTTGAACATTTTCAAGGCTGAGACTGATAAGATTGTTTAAAAAAATAGAGGGATTGGGGGATATCGGGATAGGGCAGATAACTGGAGTTAGGTCAGAAGATCAGCCATGAACTTATCGAATGGCGGAGCAGGCTCGAGGGGCCGAATGGCCTACTCCTGCTCCTAATTCTTATGTTCTTATGACAACATAGTACAGAACCAAATTGCACCACCATTCTATTTAAACTTCATACAATGTTTAGGATCTGATCCAGACTCTGGAAAGATGGTTGAATTTCATCATTCATCATCAATGCAGTGCCACTCGGTGGTGGAGTGAAAATGCCACGCTGCTTTGAGGTTGGAGCATTGCTGAACCTTTGGAGTCAAAATGTGTCCAAGTTTCCCTTACAAAACAACCTTTAATCTTGAACCTACGTCCAAAATATCCTAACTTTCACTTTCAGATATTACAAGGCTGTTGCTAACAGTCACACCACTCTCAGTGGACAGTACCTGGATCTGCTCGGGTGTCCATTGGTCCAGGTTGACCGACTTCACCTTGGAGATGTGGACCCCGAGGTTTCGGTGGATGCCGGCACAGCGAATGCACATGAACACGCCCAGATTCCACGAGGCCCATCTTGGTCCTAAGCAAAGATGGAAAAGTTAAGTCATGGAGGTAGCTTAACCTGTTGACCCTGTTCCATTATTTTCCTGGATCACAGCGGTTCTTTTCATCCTTTTCTCCATATCTCTTATTTCCCAAGTATTTATCACCTACGATGCTCAGGTTTCAAAATATTTTAAAATATTCAGGTTTCAAAAATAAAGCACTTAGATATTTCCCTACATGTAACTACATGTGCTAGTTATTGATGAAAACATCCCAGTTAATTCTGCCACCAGTTTAATAAAATTCCCGAGACTATACTGAATGACCATTTCAATGTTTTACACCAATGGGGATAAGGTGAAAGCCAACTTGCTACAGGAACCCAACACGTTTCAATCAAGAACCTCAATATTAGACACAAGATATTTTATAGTATGTAAGTTACAAACACCACAACGGTATCTTAATGGACATGGGCAAGTTACTTAAAGTTTAGCGTCTGAAAATGAATCTACTCCCCATACTAGATTCTGAACTAACAGGGGCTATTCTCTCATCAAGAACTGATCGCCACTGTTCCACTTCCCAAATTGGCTTTCAAACTGGAACTAAATAAATACTTAAAGGGGGTCTTCAGGGAGGTTAAACTGCACTGAAAGGATTGCTCTTAAAGGAGCCGACACAGGCAAGATTGGCCGAATGACCTTCTCCTGTGCTGTAACTTTCTATGGCTCTATGAAGCAACAGTTCAGACCCAGGCAAAGAACAAACAGGAAACGATTTCACAATTGTTCACATGGAACTATACAACCCAATTGCACAGTAGATTCATAAACAGAAATGCAGCTGTTAGACTGGATAATACAGACTGCAGTGCACCCTGAGTAAGTATGTCAAATAGACATTCTTGACATTTATTGAAAAGCAGTCTATTCACACCCATTTGCTAATGCAAACTGACAGTGTTTGTCTACGCAATATTTGATATTACATGTTTTATTAAACAAATTCAGACCCCCTTCATTACCCGCCTCCCTTGTTTAGGTCCTGGCTGCACTAATGTTAACCTGCAGGCAATTTTTCTCCCACTTACCATTCTCATCTAAATTCAGGCTAACTTCAAAACAAATGACTGTTCAATTTACCTAAACGTTTGGAGAGCATTGGTAGTGCGAAATTAGCATTAAATATCTTATTAATTCCATTCTGTTAAGTGCTGCAGCACTTTTCTTTTAGATGTAAAGGCGCTGGAGGATTGTTGCATGTACTCTCCATCATATCCACTCATAAGCCTCTCACCTGCACCGCACTTAGCAAATTCATTACACATTAATAAAACTGCTCATTTATATTGAACAGAAGGCTGAGGTTCCAGAATTAGAAAGCTGTTGGGTTTATATACAGATGCGGCTTGACATTTGCAACACAGTGTAATGAAATGAGTATGTTGCTAATTCCAAAAAAAAGTGTAAATGGCTTGTGAATTTAATTTCCCAGTGAAGTGAACCGAAACAACTTGGTTTATGTTTACATTGAGTGAAAAACGCACCACATGCATATCTTGTTATTACACTGAGGTTAAAAGGTGTAAAGTTTCCCAGCTCAATCACCACAGTGGCGTAAAAAGCAGTGACTGGAAATCTCATTACACTATAATAATAATAAACGTTGCATTTGATATAGGGCCATGATATTGAAACATTTCAGAGCACTTCATAGTCAAGTGTGTCATTGATACTTCAAATAGTCAAGTCTCCTCTGTCCGCAGTCTCACTCGCGCTAAGCTCCGCACCGCGATTACCTCAGTCCTTGCCAAATTCCATTGGCTCCGTCAAAGAGCAGATCGACTTCAAGATCCTCACTCTAGTGTTTAAATCCCTCCACGCCTTGGCACCTCACTATCTCTCCAACCTCCTCTCTCCTAACAGCACTACCCGCTGCCCACTACCCACTGCTCTACTGGCTCCAGCCTCCTCTTTGTCCCTCGAATCATCTGCTCCACCATTGGCAGCCGTGCCTTCCGCCACTACTCCCCGAAGCTATGGATCTCCCTCTCTCGATCCCTTCGCCTTGCCCCCTCTTTCCCCATTTTCAGGTTACGCCTGAAGACCTTCCTCTTCGACCATGCCTATGGTCACCTTCCCTCTCCTGCTGGCTCAGCATCGGGCTCCACCATTGTTAAGCTCTCTGGGACACCGCCCGGCGTGGAGGGCGCTGTACAAATGCAAGTTGTTGTTTATTTATTGGAAAACACGGTAGCCATTTTGCACACAGCAAGGTCCCGACAAAACAGTGATGAAGTGAATGGGCAAATTACAATAAACTATCCCAATTATCGTGGGAATTGCTAACCAGGACAACACGGGAGATTCCGCTTCTCTGACGAATAGTACCTCAGGATCTGAATCAGGAGAATGTGATCTCGGTTTAATATCTCATCCAAAGGACGGCCCCTCTAACAATGCAGCACTTCCCTAGGACTGCACTGGAGTCTCAGAATGGAGTGCGAGATCAAGTCCGAATTTACTCTCAGACCCACAGAACTGAACAAATTATAGGCCCCAATCCACCTCCTGGATGACGTTAGAGATTATGGCCGCCAAATGATGATTATTATCGATTATGTCAATTCTCCTTCTCCCCCCCTCCCAAAAGAAATAAAGACCAAATCAAACTCCCTCCCCACATTGATCAACCACTCATCTGGCTAGATATTTAGCTATTTAAATTGGAAATCTAACATGGATTCTGCCTCAGCGACCGCTCCCAGCAGGGCATTCCTAATGTGCAAGTACTCTATATGTGAAAAAGATTCCTCCCAACCTTCCCATTTGCTTGTTTGCTGACTATTTTAAATTGATATCCTGCAATCACTGAATCAACAACAACTACTTGCATTTATTAGCGCCCTTCCCGGAGCGCTTAAATCACTGACCAGTGGAAACAGTGGTGATGGGATACGACTGCACCAAGACATGTTGCAGCCTCTACGCAACCGGCCTGATGCGGTCGCCGATTTTGCAGCTACGTACAGAGCTTCCATTCATTCATCTCGGAAACAAAACAACCGTATTAATGGAAACTCGTACAGAAACGCCTCTCGAGTGTTAACAGCTGTATTCATGCCCAGCGTTAGAGGGAGCAGCATTCATGAAAGGATTTCATCCCAGTCTTTGTCCCTCCTCTGCTGCGTCTTCAATGGTTAACGGCCACAGCTACTTCAGTCACCAACACACAGAGTTAGCAGCAGAAATGGAAAACGACCTTTGTGGCTATTTGCGTTGAAAACTCGCCAATGACAAGAATGCTATTCAGATAGACACTGTCTATATTCCCCTTCAGACGTAATGGGTTACACTTGAAATAGGCTAGAGTTTCAACCACTCAAAAAATGACAGATTTGGGATTGATGTTACGTAAAGTTTTCAAAGGCTGCGCTCTGTATCTCATCTATCTACTCACATGTGCAATCGACCCATCGATCGCAATGAGGTGGGCACACGATGTGCCAAACAGATTTGCCGATAGCCACTCATTTCTGAAAGCAGTCACCAAGCTGAAGCTTGTTTCAAGCTACGCAGTCGGGAATTGGTATGAAAGTTTAAAAAAAAGTGCTTTAAAAATCTGATCAGATGAAGAATGCATAACATTGAGAACTGGGCCACTTCATTCTTTAGTCAACCTGTAGCTTTCAGAACGAAAGAGAATGGCTTGTACCCATCGGTTCATCTGTACAACACACAACTGGGAGAGTCAATTCCAACTAAAGAATTCCACACTTAACACAAAAAAACTTGTACAGCGCCTTTCACGCAGCTAAAACTCTTTAGGTCTATTTTAATGTGCTCTTTATTTCAGATGGCTTTAGTTAATTGCACTATCCTGTAAACTTTATTTTGGCTTGTTTGGAACAGGTACACTAGCTCAAGCCAGGGAATGTAGCATAGACCTATATGGAATCCAATTAATAATAATACTAATAATACTTGCATTATCACATCATTGAGATGTCTCAAAGCCCTTCACAGGATATATTGTAAAGTGAATTGACTGTATTTTGTGGGCGAAATTACTATAAAAGGGCCAGTTGTTAGGTCCGAAAGGTCGAGTGTTACAAAAGGTCAGTTCTAGAAGATAGAAGACGAGGTTTCCTATGTGATTATAGCACACCTTAATACAGGAAAAGTTCTGATTATAATCCATTCTAAGGTTCGAACAAGAACATTTCCCCAGTACTAAAGTGAAAAAATGCATTTTTGAAATTCATCATTTGTTTCCAGGATCACATTGTACGTTTCAGCATTGGGTCTTGAAGATATTCTCCGCAGAAATGCCAAATTCTGTTTAGTTAAAACCCATAAAATTAGTGACAACATAGAAAGGAATAGAGTGCGTCAAAACGGTAATTAACAATTTTCGTAGATATGCAGCCTAATCCAAGCCCTGCTTAATAAAGGCTTGTTGAAAAGGGCAACACTACAAATGGATGCTCCAGATGCGTCCCAGCTCTCTTGCCTTTCGGGCAGAAATTTGCAGGTTCAAGGCCCACGTCGAGACTTGAACTCAGTCCAAAGCGACACTCAGTACTGGGGAGCACTGCATTGGTGCAAATAAGACATTAATCAAGGTCTCAGCTGGGTGTTTAAATCAACATTAAAAATTCCATTAAACCATTAGAAAAGAGAAGGGAGTTTCACCTGGGATCCTAACCAAATAATCCTCTAGGTAGGCAACCTTAGGCAAGTTTCCTCACTACACATGCCTTTGTTTACCAAGCAGTAAGTAGTTTAGTTGATTGGCGGATTTCTTTCCGGTGGCAATAATCCCTTCAAAACACAAAATAATAATTTGGTGACTGAATCCGCGACCGTTTGTGGGACGCTGCTGTGCACAATTGGCTGCTGCGTTTCGCCCACAAAATATAGTCAATTCAATTTACAGTATATTCTGTGAAGCGCCTTGGGACGTTTCAATAACGTGATAAGGCACTATTCAAATAAAAGAATTATTATTATTACTGATCACACACCTCAT